AAGTCCACAAAAAGGGGGATGGAAGTTGAATATATATGGTAACTTATTTAAGTATTAATGTAGTTATATATTATATTTTAGGTAGATGTGTAATTATTTGTTTATAGATTATATTTTTGTAATATTTTTAAAATCTTGGTGGATAGATTAAAATTTCCCATTTTATTTTCATTTTATTTTAACCAATTTCAGCCCAAATTTGTATCCAACGCCCTATGGTGGGCCGGCCCAACGGGCATTCATGGTACAAGTACTTAGGAGGATGATAATTTGTCCCGGGCCCACATGTGCCACGTAATGCGGATCTGTACTCCTCTTGCGCCACGTCACTTTACATGGAAACTAGAAACGGTCAGGACGAGGGCTGAGAATTTTTCGCTTTCCACATTAACAAATCCCCACCTTTTATCATTCACAATTTCTCACTCGATTTTAATTTTATATCAATCAGATCGTCAAATTAACCGGAGATGGGGAACTTCTGGTCCGCCGTCGAACCGCCGCCGCCGCCGCCGATGGTGCTTGTTCCGCCGCTTTTTGATTTTCCTCCTCTCGCCGCCCGTACGAGGTTCGAAACATATTTCACACCGGAAGGTAGTTTTGTTTCCATTATCCCCTTTTCTAATGTGCCACGCAATGGAAATGTAGAATGCTGGAATCATCGTACAACCTTTTGTTCGGGAAGCTGGCGTTGAGGTGTCTGTTCGAGGATTATTTCGAAGAAGCGAAGCATTTCAGCACGAGGATTATGCTCAAGCCGATTGATGATCCACATGTTGATTTGATTGCAACTGTATCCGTTTGTCTGTTTGTTTGTTTGTTTTTTTTTTTTCTTCTAATTACTGAATTCTCATGCGTATTTGATTTAGTGTGCTGTGTTTGTGGAGTTTCCTTATCGTGTTCGAAGTATGAGCTGAAGTACTAACTGAGTAACCATTCAGATTCTTTTATTCGTTTACTTCCATTTTTCTTGGAAAAAATCATTTCATTTATAGGTTGAATATCTGCTGCTTCTAGTTAAATACCTGACCAGAGGATATGAAATCAAATGTTCCTTAGCATGTTCAGGTTTCTGGTCCGTATGACAATAAGCCAGAGGAGAAAATTGCGGGAAATGCACAATTCCGGTGGCAAAGGTTTTGAATCCATTTAAAATATGAGCGATTTCATGATTCCAGTTCTTTGCCCATGATACTCAACTAACAATCCATTTTGTTTTCACTGCAGTGATGTTGATGATCCTCACACATTTGTTGACCTCTTTGTTTCAAACACCGAACCGTAAGAAAATGTTTTTTAGAGAACCTGTTATCTGGTTGCACAGTAGCTAAAGTCAATTCTTAATGATCTTTCTGTGTGGATCACCCAGGACTTTACTGATGAGATCATGTGCATACTATCCCAAGTTCGGGCTTGGAGCATTTGGTATCTTCCCAGTCCTTATGAAACAGAGGTTGACGCCAACTTCTTAACTCAAGCGACGATGTTACTTTTACGAGGTTGATTATACTCATCCCTTGTCGTACTTTTATGTTGTTTTGTATCATTCAGATTATCTTCTGAAGATTATGGTGTCATGGGTTTGAGGTATGGCTCTTCAAATCTGTCGGTTGGAGCTACAGTTATTCCTTTCGCTGGTATGTTCAGATGCTATGTCTATTTATGTTTGAATGTTCTGCTGAGGTAACAAGCGCTTGTGCTTTTACTTCTCACAAGATAGCAACTTATAGCTTCATATTATGCTGCTGTCGCACGTTCTGTATATCTCATACTATGATCCACTTGTACAGCTTATTCATATGAGCTTTGTATGAATATGTAGATTGATTAAGTTGATTGTTTTCTGGGTTATCATTATCAGTTATGTAATTAAGCATTATGTATATGTGTGTTTAGTTCTGCAAACAAGACGGAATTTTTTTACTCTCTTTTCTTCACAGCTGGAGATGAGCTCCCCAAAACTGCATGGTTAGTAAGCAAGATGGGGAGGTTAACTGCTGGAGTGCAATATGAACCAAAATGTAAGTGTTTTTATTTCGAAATTGGTTGCCAAAAGTCTGATAAAACATTAATCGCACATTATACTTCTCTCCCATTCAGACTTCACCCTTTTGTCATGGACAATGCAGTATCTTTTTCATTTCTAATGTCTCTGTTCCTTTGAACAATGATTCAGATTCATGGTCCTCGTAGATGATCTTTGTTAGTATGGTGTTTGAAGCAGTTTCTATTACGATAAACTAACATGTTCTTTGATCAATGAAAATATGATCAGTTGAAATAATGATAATTGAAAGCAGTTAACATCATTCGTATTTCCTTTCAAATCCTATTGGTGATTCAATCATGTTTCTTCTTCACGATGTTTTCTAGTTGGAAGCAAAGAGGAAGCACGTTACAAAAACTTAGCTAATTGGAGCTGTGCAATTGGTTATGGCGTAGGATCAGGCAGCCCACTGAGCCCATCATTCAACTTTGGACTTGAACTTGCCAAAAACTCACAGGTTTTTATAGTTCGAGTTCATTTAAATTCAACCAATTCCTACATATAACTATCAGCGTTAGATTTAAGTCAACATTGTAATCATTCTCATATTTGCTGGACCTGATCTCTTGACAAAATCTTGGGAATGTATTGTTTGATAATTGTACCACCATGTTATATGAATATGGGTTCCGATGTAGGACTCGTACACCATGTAATGAAAATCAGTTTCAATTAGAGTGGATAATTAATGGAATATATATCTTTTTCAAATAGAGAGTGTTGACTATCTTGTATATGAGTGATTGTATGAAGCTTAGACAGTTAATATAACACTGAGGGCATCTTAGTATTTTCACTTTCTTAGTGTTTTAGTGACCGTTGTATATAAAGGTCTCTCATCTTTCTTCTACATTGTATTGCATTGTAACAGACTCACTTTTTTTCTACTCGGTTCAATGGAAAATATCTTTTCTCCGTCTCTCATCTTTCTTCTACATTGTATTGCATTGTAACGGACTCACTTTTATTCTACTCGATTCAATGGGGAATATCTTTTCTCCCTAATGGTTCTGATTATCAACAAAGAGTCACTCTAGGCAGCGGATTTATGCTCGTTTTATCTAAATGTTTTTGGATATATTCTGTGATCTGGATCCTACTAAAACATGTTTACCAAACTTTCTGCAGTTCATTGCTTCTTTCTATCAACATGTGGTGGTGCAAAGACGGGTATCTCCCTCTCTCTCTCTCTCTCAATACAATATAGAGATATATATTGAATTTTAAACATGAATGCTTTTATCTTTGTAGTGCCAAGAAATAGTTCTTGGGCCATATTATAGATAGATATGATTTGTTTGGTCTTGAATCAATATTGCTTCTTCAATTTCAATATAAAAACCTTTGTCCTCTGTTTCTCTCGTTTTTGTTATAAGGTTAGACAATCGACAATTTATCAGTTAATTATCAATCTGTTCTTATGAATTACTGTACACTTCTGAAGACTGAGGACACTTGCTCGTGCACAACTGGAGAGTTTCATAAATTCTTGGTTCTCCTTGATTTGGCAGAGAACTCTCTGTGGTCTGTAGGGGATGGTACTGAAAAATACTATTTCCGTGCTTGTAGGTTAAAAATCCCCTCGAAGAAAATGAAGTAGTTGGGATCACAAATTACATCGACTTCGGTTTTGAGTTACAGACAAGGTATTTTTACCGATTAGCTGTGTACAGTTGAATATAACATCTTTTAAGTTTACCTGGGACTGAAATTAATAAATTTATGACACTTTCTCTGAAGGGTGGATGATGACAAACCGGCAAATAATATTCATGATTCCACTTTCCAAGTTGCTGCTTCTTGGCAAGCCAATAAAAACTTTTTAGTTAAGGTAACTTTCGGGGCTCATCATAGATATATGTTCAGTTGTGACATTTTGCTATGATTTTCCCAGGGAAAGGTTGGACCTCTCAGCTCATCAATAGCTCTGGCTTTCAAATCGTGGTGGAAACCTTCTTTCACATTAAGCGTGTCCGGTATTTCCGCATTTAAAATTCTGCAGTATCCAATTGAAGCACTCATTTTGTCGATTTCTTTTGTAATGTTTTTTCACAAATGTACAATTATACATATGTCGACTTTAACACGGGTTCGCTTGTTTTCCTCCTCCACGACATTGCTTTTTGGGTCTTGCAGCTATTAGAGATCGTACCAAAGCCGAGACATCATTCGGATTTGGAATTCGTGTCGACAATATTCGAGAAGCAAGGTTAGACGTAAAACCATATCATTCTCATTCGCATGATTTTGGAGATTTAGTTAGAGCTTGATACAGTGATTTGGTGTGTGTGTGTGTGTGTGTTTTTTCTGGCGCGAAATGTTGTTTTGTGGTAATGCAGTTATCAGAGGGCAGATCCCAATTTTGTAATGCTGACTCCAAACAAGGAGCATTTGGCTGAGGGCATACACTGGAAAAGTGGGGAAAGACCTGTTCTTCAATCCGATGTTAATTCTGGAAATTTTGATGGGATACCTAAAGAATTGAGGCCTTTGAACAAGATTTTGTAATCTCCAGTATTGGGATAACAATTTCATTATAAAGATCTCTCTCTCTCTCTCTCTCTCTCTCTCTCTCTCTCTCTCTCTCTCTCTCTCTCTCTCTTTCTTTTAATTAGTGGTTAGATGATAGGATATAATCCATCCTTCTGCAGTGCAAACGAGAAAGAAATAAAATTCATTCGCGCTCTTTGTTAGTAATTGTGTTTTAGCTTCGATATAATTGTTCGAAAGATGAAGGCTAAGTTTACCTTTTTCTTCTTCTGTATAAAATGGTGTAGTTTTATTATTGTGAGAGAAGTAATCACAAAGAACACCCTTTTTGGAGAATGACCCCTTTACCCAGGTTCCTACATGAGCTTCCAGTGCAGTATAGTGGCAACATCTTTTACCTATCAAAGCCAATCAAAATATTTAAAACAAGAAAAAAAAAAATGCCCACAATAAATACATAAAACCACAATTCTGAACCTTTGTAACAAAAAATGAAAAAGGGGGATTTATAAAACTATTGTACAACAGAAAGGCTCATAATCACTTCCCTCGACTAAAAATACATGCGCTTTTACGTTACTAAAATGAGAAAGACGCGGTTAAAAGGGTCACTTATTAGAATGGTTTCAGGTTCATACAGAGAGAGATGGCGAAAGACCGAAGTCGAGTCCCCACAGCTCAAAACTCCCATTGACAAAGTCATAGTAACCGCCCTTTAGCGCAAGTGTTTTGTTCACCAAACCTTGTCGAACAAACGGGTAAGAAAGCAGGTTTCCTAGCGAGACATTCACAGCCTCCTGTTTGCATGAACATCAGGATAAAAAACTCAGAGATGAATCAAGATTAATCTCATTATTTAGGAATCACAAGTGAATTAATATTATATAGCTGTTAAATTCGTTATCCATTCATATTACGATAAGACATTGTTCGTTTTCCTTTTTTTCTTTTCGGACCTTTTCACACTTTGCGCACTGGTCACCGAAAGGTGTGAACTTGTGGTCGGTCAACACTTTGGACTTGGCCGGTAAACAGATTTTCACCCAGTCCTCGATAAATTCCCTGAATATTATTCATCACAAGAAAAAAGTCGGCTTTAGTGATGAATGACATTGACACCAAAGTAGTCCCTGTTTTTCTTCATTTTGCTCGCATATAATAGTTACTTCTCTCAATAAGTGTAAAGAAAACAAAAGCCAGAAACTCATTTAGTTTTCGAAGCACATGCAAACCACTTGTGTTTTAGTTTCGAAAACTTCGCCCATTGAGGAGACTGATATGTAAATCATGCACATAAGTTACTGAAATCAGGCTCAATCTATACCATACTTTTAGTCACGTACGTAAGACAGATTATGCACTTCGAAAACAAAATGCTAGAAATTTACATTAAGGCTGCCTAACAACCTAACAAATATGCAATGATATCTTTTCAACTTTTGTGCATACTTTTAAATTGAAATGTCAATTACTCTAAAATACAACAAAGTATGACAATTTATAATATAAAGATGCATTTTTTGTTACAAAAGTATAACGATTCGACTCACCCAACGGCCAAGTTGGTACACATTAGAAATTTATGAAAAAATATTGACACAGAATTTAGCCAGATAGACGGCTTACGTGGATGAAGAGCCATCTAATTGGAAGGACATGAGACCCTTTATTCCTCCACAAGCACTGTGCCCAATCACCACAATTTCTTGCACCTGCCCAATTGCCATATTCATGTTTTTTTATTTTATTTCATTTTATTCAAATTTTCACAAAAACATTTCGAAATAGTTAGATTGTGTTTGGTAAGCATATAAACTAGCTTATAACATATTTAATTAGGTTATAAACTTTTTGTATTCAAATAAGTTTGGTTTGATAGGAAGAATTTTTTAAAAGCTCGAGCATAAGCTTTGTTTGATAGTTTTTCAAATAAGTCCATTGGAATATTTATTTCAGCTAGCTTCTTCGCTACTTTTACCATACACTTTTATCATATAAGCTAGTTTTTCAGATATAAGTCATAAGCTATAAGTTATTAGCTCGAATATCATTTATAAGCTATCAGTTTGCTTAGTTTTACCGAACAGACACTAAAAACTAATATAAGAAACAATAATTAGCCTAAAAAGGGATATTTGGTCTGTTTCACCTTGAGGTGCAGAACTGCATACTCAATGGCAGCCCCATCTCCACAGTGTTTGGTCTGTTTCACACCACAAATCATTTCGAATCATCTAATTTACCATTCATTAATTGTGATAAATTAACAAAATCAATTAATTAATATTTCAAAATTAAGACCATTATTAAAATTATTTCACTATGAAGACCTTATCATATGCAGGGACCATGTTAGCAATGTTGCGGACCACGAAAGCCTCTCCCGGTTGGAAGTCCAGCACGTGTGAAGGGCACACGCGCGAGTCCGAGCACGCAAACACCATATACTGTGTGGAGTCGACATAAAAATTAATTTGCTGGCATTACTACTCTAAAATATATATATAAAAAAAATCCTAATAAAATATTATACTTTCTTATATATATTTGAAATGAAAGGCAAATTAATAATTAGGCAGATAAAATTAAAATTGGTACCTTGGGACTCTGGCCTCGCGCAAGTTCGGCGTACAAAGCTGGATTTTTCCTAAAAGAGTCATTATATTATATGTTATATAAGTTATATTAACTCAAATTAATTAACTATAGCCAGGTGTGCGACACGGGTCGACCAACGGATTAGTCGGAACAAAGCTCCGAATACCGTGGCTGGTTACCGAAAAAAAAAAATTAATTAACTATCAATGATATAATTTAATTTAAATATATAAATGGATATATGTTTTGATCACTTACTCATATTTCTCTCTTTTGAAGCGGATGAAACCGGTTTTCAACCTCTCGACGGACTCGGAGGCGGTGGTGGCGGTGGGGGCGCCGCTGCCGTTGGCTGTTTGCAGCTGAGCTTTGATTTCGCCGATTTTGGCGGTGGTCACCGGTCCGAGGTCTTCCTTCTCACTTCATGCAGCCAAAATTTGGGTTACTAATTTTCTATTTTTAGTCTTGAAAAGATGCTAATTATATTGTTATATGTAGGCAATTAAAAAAAAAAAACAAATAAGTAGAGATGAAATTAATGGAAAATTCGACTCACGTTGAAGCAATAAATACAAATTTTAATATTTATATATAAGTGTGTGTTGATTCAATAGTGAATATCTCTGAACTGAATTCGAGTGAAATCTTTACTAATTAGCTTAATTAATTTATATTAACCTTAGAAGCTTTTGGAGCGCAGCGATGGCTTCTTCATACGCGTCCTTTCCCATGTCTTCTTTCTGAAAATTTTCGATACATTAGTTAAAAAAAAAAAGGTCACGAATTTTGGATATATATCTAGAGAGAGAGAGAGAGAGAGAGAGAGAGAGACTCGTGGAAATAAAAACTAACTTGTAATTTTTCCCTAAAAGTAGTGAAATATGTTGGAAATGATGATAATTTTGAAAGTAAGATTTGTTAGCTAGTGATATGAGCTACAAGTAATGGGACAATTTTTGTGTGCTTGTGTGTGAGCTTGAATGAGCAAGCGTGTGTACGTAGGAAATGCTACGATCCTGTTATAGTACCATTCCTTCGGGATTTGTAACTGTTAGATCAACTATTTTCGACGGTTACATGATGATCTAACGGTTACAAACCTCGACGGAATGATTCCGTGACAGAACTGTAGCATCTCCCACGTACTATATCGAATTAGAATTATGTCCCGTCCACATAACTAAAAGCATTATATCCATGTCCAAAAAAAGAAAAAAAAAAAAATATATATATATATATATATATTACACCCAAGAAGGAGAAGCTGAGCCACGCATTATTTTTGTGCACTTCATGTTAATAATGCCACCTGTCATTAATGCAAAGTCCAAGTTGCAAATTGTTCTTGGAAAAAAAAACAAAAATATCGAGTGAGGAAAAAAAAACATGACCAGAGATTTTTATCTATTTTATCCTTGGTGTATATTGAGCAAAAGGAAAAATTGAGTAGGTATCTAATAGTTCAGTTTTGATTCTGTGTTTCCTCTGGTGCAACTTGGTTATTATTTTTCATAAATTTGGTTTTCGGTTTTTCTCGGTTTCGTGTGGCATTGCACCCAAGTGCACCAGATCAAAAACAAAGTATAGAAAACAAGTCAAATCGTTAGTACATTTCGGTATAATACGGTTCGATTATTTTAGTATGAATAACTTTCACTACATCGTCGCGTTTTCTACGTTTCAATGCAGTTGAGTTAATTATTTTTCACAAGTTCAATTTTTCAAGTTCTTTAACGGTTTTTTTGTACTGAATCGTACCGCCTGCTCACCCCTACCTAACATATAATGCGATCAATCTATGATTCTTGGAAGGAAATAAAAAAATGAGAAGAAAAAAGCATGGAGTGGAAAAAAAAAAAAAACACTATTTTTATCTATTCTACCACAGCATATTTATTTTAAAAAAAAAAATAAAAAAGAAAGAAAATTGAGTGGGTACCAAAAGTGGGTGGATAATGGGCGCTGGAGCCGCAAAGACGGGCTCCTTGCGGATAAGGCTTGGCGGAGTTTGGGCTGAGTTGTTGAGTTTTGCGGTGGTGACAGGGTGGAAGGTGGCGGCTCTTGGCTGGCCGGAGATTGGGGTGAAGACTTGGGAGGCGAAAATGGTCGACATTTTGAAATAGGCCACGAATATTTGTCCCTTTATATATTGAAATTAATATTATGGTAAACACTATCAACTTGCATTGCATCATATTGCACGTCGATGGTATTATAAAATGGATAATGAAAGCGAAAGGAGTGTGTAAACCACAGCTTCTCTATTGGGTTGCAGATTAGGTTTGGATGTGGGACTTCAATTTTCGACCTCA